ACCAACATGAATTCTTATCTGATGTAATTGTCCTTATTAGTATTAGAAATGCATGGACTTTCCATTGTGTATGTGTGGACATCATCTTTTGCGTAGTAGGTATTATGTCGTGCATAGCTGCCTAACTTGTCATTTTCTCCAGGCTAGGCTAGTGAAATACTGAAAATGCATAAACTTTTCGTTGTGCATGTGTGGACATCATCTTATGCATAGTAGATGTTCTGTCGTGCATGGTCTGTCTAACTTGTCATTTTCTTTAGGCTAAGCTAGTGAAATACTGAAAATGCATGGACTTTTTGTTGTGCATGTGTGGATATCATCTTATGCATAGTGGGTATTTTGTCATACATGGTCTGTGTAGCCATTTCAGTTAAAACCCAAGGCTACTAAATTACTCAAAATTCATGGACTTTTCGTGCATAGTGGATGTTGTTTTGTACATAATGGAAAGGCTTAGACTTGTAGATTTCATTTCCTTTTCATGCAAATATATACATAATTCCAATTACAAATAAAAACTATTTTCAAATTACAAAAAAAAATCTTAAAGCATGTACATAATCCAAGTAGGAGAATTTGATTCCACAATCTTATAATTTTTCTTCTCATTTGCCCATTCCTATAAGTATACGTGGACATTCACGAATGATATTGTTGGGATGCTCCACCAGCCAGCATAATATGTCACACCTCATAGCTAATAGTTCTTGTGTTGTCTATCTAGGTATGGTAAACGGAGGATGGTCAACATTGACGATATTGTTCCAAAATTTGAGCCACGTAATGAGATGAATTCCACAATCATTACTGCATAGCAAAGGCAATAGAGTGAGATATGAATGAATATTTTGTTCAGCAACCTGTAGCTTCTATTAGTAAGTTAGACTTCCTTAACAAATAACACAAATAGAAAAACAATGTATAATACAATATCCACTATGGACAACACAAGGTTCATATATTCTCTCCTGAAAGTCCATGTTATTCCAGTTTATCATTAGGCTAGGCTTAACAAATAGAATGCTCAAGTTAAGCAAATATGGCACAACATAATATTCATTATGCACAACACAAAGTTCATATATTCTCACCTGAACCAACTTAATGGTTCAGCAACCTTTAGCTTATATTAATAGGTTAAGCTTCTTCAACAAATTACACAAGTAGGCAAATAATATATAACACAATATTCACTATGCACAATATAAGATTCATATATTCTCACCTGAAAGTCCATGTTATTCCAATTTATCATTAGGCTAGGCTTAACAAAAGGAATGCTCAAGGTAGGCAAACATGGCACAACATAATATCTACTATGCACAACATGAAATTCATATATTCTCACTTGAACGTCATGTGATTTCAATTTATCATTAGGCTAGGCTTAACATAATGCACATTTCAACGTCCAACAACAATTCAAAGTTAATTTTTGCACAACAAATACTCCAACATTTTTGACAGAAGATTTTCTTCATATTAGATTATATTTTATTCAGTTCACGTGTAAAACTCTAATATAAACAAGTCAACCGTCATTATTGTACAACAACTAATGCACTCTAAAACTTTTATGGCCAAAATGATTTAGCAAACTTTACCTCATATCAGCAGTAGAATCACAAATAAAATTTCAATTTCAACAATATCACATTTAACTTTTATAACAAAAAGTCCATCTCATATACACCCTACTACCTCATATAAAACTCTCATTAAATGCTTCCATTAAATGAACTACTACATACTAAATGAGTGAAGATCATCTTCCTCGTCACTTCACCAGCAACTAACATGCAACAATAACAAACTTTAAATTATTTTTACCCTTAAATAATTTATGCAGCAACAACGAATGCCTCTCATTTCTACAGCAAGAATAGTAAAAATCTTAGCTCATTTCTACAACAAGAACATGAGAAACCTGAAAACTTCCAGCTGAGATCTTGAAATCATCAAAGCACCATTTAAGATGGAGAGATTTTGAAATCTACACACCTCAAAAGTTACTCCTCCCCATTAGAGATTAGAAACCTTCTCATTCTCCAGCTGAATACCCATTCTCGAGCGTTTGTCATTCTTTCTCTACGTTCAATTTGATTTCTGTCCATTAAGGGTAAAATAGTATTTTTGCTTTGAAGAAATATTGCACTTAGGACCTCAAGGCTTGCAAAGTAATTTCAGATTTATTTAGACCTTAAGTGAAATAAACTCTATTTTTAAAACCCTTAATGCCATTTTCCCTTATTTTTATTCATTTTATCTATTTTTCTCAAATTATTAATTATTTAAATTAGTAAATGTGTAATTTTTTTATAGTTTCAACACCTGAAGTATTCTGAATAATTTATTATTGTGATCCCTTACATCTGCGCGAGTGATCAGCTATTGTGTTTGCGTGACTGATGCTTTGAGCTTTGCGTTTTGATTTGATTTTCAAACTCACTACCTTACCTAGAAGCCTTCTCGTTCCGACACGAATTATGGCGGCTTTCAAAACTGACTACGACTACCTCTTCAACGTGGTCCTGATCGAAAACTCAGGTGTTGGCAAATCCAACCTCCTCTCTCGATTCACTCGAAACAAGCTCAGCCTTGAGTCTGAGTCCACACTATTGGGGAAGGTTCGAGTTTTAAGTTCCTTTGATTCTTCTTCTTTAACAACAATGATTTTGGGTTTGAAGGTCTGGGTTTGATGATTGATTTTGGATGCTTCATCTTCTTTGGATATTTGTTAAAAAATTTAATTTTGATTTTTGTTTATTGTGTTGTGAAATGTGTGGATCTTGCTAGAATGATGATTGTGAGATAATGGATCTGGAATTTTTGTGTAAATGCTGGAATGTTGATAATGGTTTGTTGGAATTTTTGTGTAAATGTTAGAATTCTTGCCTATCGAACTCGTGGCTTCCTGGTTGCACTATTGCAGGAACAAGAAGAATAGCCAAGGGGAGAGAATATGGATTGATTTATCATTTTAGTTGGATTTTTTTTCTTTTTCTTTTAAATTTTTAATTATTAAAATATACCATAGGGCTACCAACATGACCAGTCCAAGATGGCAAAAAATGGTTAAAATTTCAAAGACAACAGTCAAATTAGTCAAGTAATAGTTGGGCAACATTGTGCCTAAATGAAAAACGTTAGGGCAAAATTACACCAAAAAATGCTTTAAGATGTGAGATGCATCTAGCTGAAAACATTGAGGGCAGATTTATACTTTATCTAAAACTAAAATCTTAAAAATAAAGGAGATATATGTGTTTTGCAACTATTTATACAGGTTCATATAGATTTGTGTACTCAGTCCCTTGAGGCTATGCTATGGCTGTCCTCTGGCTACATCACTCAGCTGCTCTCACCAAACTATAAGACTCCCAAGATCGAAGTACTAAAGACCTATAGCCAAGCCCATCGATAAAGCCCAGGCAAAGCCTTCAGCTTCAAGTGCATAGTCCTAACAAGATGGGCTTCAATTTAAAGTCATCGGCCGAAATTTTTTGCTTATTGGACCATGCATGCATATCCAAAATGAACTACCATATTGGCATAATCGCAACGCTTGATCACTAGCACAGATCCTCAAGTCTTTTTCTGCAGCTCGTGACTTTGTATGTTCCTGCAATTTTAGGATATATTTACAATCTCAAAAAGTATTTAAATCTCTTTTTGAATTTCTTCTAACTATTTTGTAACGAAATTGACTAAATGTACATAATATAAATAGTGCATGACAAAAATTATATCTTCCTTGTTATTAATAAATAATTAATGTTAATTGATAAGATAAATATCATTTTGAAGTTAAAATAATAATACTTCACCTTAACATATATATTATTTGAAAACAATTTAAATAATCCACTTAAATTTATGCACGTACTGGCTAGAGACTCTTGTCAATTAAATAAATCTACCCTTTCACTCAATACGCTAGGATTCTCATGCTTCTTAATTGTGCCGAATGATTTTATGATAAGAAGGGGAAACATTAAGACGAAAATAAAAGATATAACATATTATAAAAAATTTTAAATTCTTTGGTTTCAATTTTTTGTACATATATATGTATAAAGAGACCTAATAAATTTAAGATTTTATATAATGAGAGATAAATTACTTGATATAATTATATTAATCTATTTTTACAAAAAAAAAATATTTTTAGCATCTTTAAACTTTCAAGACTATTTATAATGTCTAATGAATTAATAGTATGTACTAAAATATTAATTTTAATAATAAAATGAAGTGTTTTGATAACAATTAAGAACTCTTTATTTATTAGGTAAATGAGTAAATTACTCTATAAATTTTATTTTAAAAATTATTATAAACTTTGAACTCTTTATTATGCGAAATTTTTTTACAACCATTAAAAATGGTGCAATATGGTGTTTATTATTAATAAAAGTTAACTTTAATAATTAGTTAATTAAAAATTAAAAAAATATCAAAAATTATAATAAATGATCCAAAAAAATTACAGAAAATATCCAAAAAAAAATATGATCTTGATCTAGCTAAAATATTTTGGATTTTTATATGCAACTCTCTAATCAATTATCAATTAAAGTTAAGTTTTATTAATAATAAATTTAGATTGTACCATTTTTAAAAGTTAAAAGAATAATTTTTATAATAAACAAATTTAAGATTTATAATACTATTAAATCTAAAGTTTAAAAAATAAATTATTCATCTATCCTTATTTCTTTCCTTCCTTGACCTGGGTTAAGGATATTGACTGGCATATTCAACTGTGCATGCAGCATATCCAATATCAGTTTCCATCAAAAGGTAAACTCTTCGGTGTTACTGTACATGTATAATCATATAATTCCAATTATATCCTAAACCATCACATCTGACCCCCAAAAATTATATATATATATATTTTGTAAGAAAAAAAACTGTACGGAACCACGACGGACTAATTAGTCTAGCTGTATAAATAGAATAACTATTATCAACATTATTTCAAAGTACCACAAGTCCACAGCGCTTATCTTATTTCTTTGTCCTCATTTTTTGAACACCACAATTCAGCTATTATGTCTAGCCAACTTCGAGTGCTTAGTGCCCTTGATGTTGCCAAGACACAGTGGTATCACTTCAAAGCCATCGTAATTGCTGGCATGGGCTTCTTCACTGACGCTTATGATCTCTTCAGCTTACCTAATGTCACCAAGTTGCTCGGACGAATCTACTACACCCACGACGGTGCTCTGAAGCCCGGAACCCTCCCTCCCGCCGTGAATTCCGCCGTCAACGGAGTCGCCTTGTGTGGGACCTTACTAGGTCAGCTTTTCTTCGGTTGGTTGGGTGACAAAATGGGAAGAAAAAAGGTTTACGGTATAACCCTTGTTCTCATGGTGGTCTCCTCTCTCGCCTCCGGTCTCTCTTTCGGTAAATCCTCAGAAGGCGTCATCGCCACTCTCTGTTTCTTCCGATTCTGGCTCGGATTCGGCATCGGCGGCGACTACCCTCTCTCCGCCACAATCATGTCGGAATACGCCAACAAGAGAACTCGTGGCGCTTTTATAGCGGCGGTTTTCGCCATGCAAGGCTTCGGGATTTTGTTCGGCGGCGTCGTTTCCCTAATTGTCTCAGCCGCGTTCGATCACGCCTATAAAGCTCCTCCTTATAAGGTCAACGCCGCCGAGTCTCTGGCTCCTGAAGCTGACTATGTATGGCGTATCATTCTGATGTTTGGGGCTGTTCCGGCGGCTCTGACATACTACTGGCGTATGAAGATGCCGGAGACGGCTCGTTACACGGCGCTTGTGGCGAAGAATGCGAAGCAAGCCGCGGAAGACATGACTAAAGTATTGCAAGTTGATATTGAAGTTGAAGAAGAAAAGGTAATTGTATTGACTGAGAGAGAAGAAAACAAATATGGCTTATTCAGTTTGAAGTTTGCTCAAAGGCATGGACTTCATTTGCTTGGGACCACAACCACTTGGTTTCTATTAGATATTGCGTATTATAGTTCTAATATTTCTCAGAAGGATATTTACACTGCTGTTGCGTGGCTTCCTCCAGCTGAAGAAATGAACGCTATTCATGAGGTATATACTCGTTTTCATTCTATTTCTAAGTCATTGCTAGCATGATTGATTAAAATTAAGAAAAACTTTAAATTTTATTAATTTTTATTTTTTATTAAAATAAGGATAAAAAGAATTCTTTTTATTAATTTTTTCTGACATTTATTAAGGATAGAAAAATAAAGATAGATGAACATAAAAATAGTAAAATTTTTATTATATATAGAATTAAAATTAATCTTCAGGACTTGAGGAGTGTGCGTAAGTTAGAGCAATGTTTTGTCAATTTTCTATATTAAGAATTCTAAACTTTATATATTTTTAGTACACTTTTTTAATTATCAAACGTAAAACTTATTTTAATATTTTCTCCATTATATTCTCTTCAGTTTTTTTCGTGAATCAGCTTGTAATTTTTTTAGTTTTAGGGGCCTCCGTCTATTACATTTTATTTCTTTTTTTTCCTGCCCCTCCTTTATTTTCTGATTCTCTTGATTTTTCTTCGTCTTTTATTCTTTCTTTTTTCTTTTATTGATTTTTTCCTCAATTTTTTAAATTTTGTCCAAAATTGCATGACTCTTGATATCACATCAAGTTTTTATATTAGATATCCTTAAGAATTGTCTAATTCCTCAAAATAACTTAAGTTAGACACATACTAAACTTTATATATTCCCAATCCACTCTCGAATTGTTGTAAGTAAAACTTCTTTACTCTAAGATCTTTTTAATAAGAGAAAAGCACCCATAAACTGATGCCTTGATGTTTTAAGCTGGAGTCAAATTCACTTACTAATGCTGATCCAATGCTTAATTAATATAGGTATACAGGGTTGCGAGGGCACAAACACTTATAACACTATGTGGTACAGTACCAGGTTATTGGTTCACGGTGGCATTCATTGACTATCTTGGTCGCTTCTTCATCCAACTCATGGGCTTCTTCTTCATGACCGTCTTCATGTTTGCTATTGCAATCCCATACGATCACTGGACCAAGACACATAACCGAACCGGGTTTCTTGTAATGTACTCTCTCACCTTCTTCTTCGCCAATTTCGGTCCGAATTCCACCACTTTCATCATTCCTGCCGAGATTTTCCCGGCGAGGTTGAGGTCGACTTGCCACGGGATATCTGCGGCGGCCGGAAAAGCCGGAGCCACCGTCGGCGCGATCGGGTTTTTGTTCGCCGCACAGAGCAAGGATCCTAACAAGACAGAGGCAGGGTATCCAAGTGGCATTGGGGTGAAGAATTCGCTGATCATGCTTGGTGTGATTAACTTTGTTGGGATGCTATTTACGTTCCTCTTGCCGGAATCGAAAGGGAAATCATTGGAGGAGTTAAGTGGAGAGATCGAAGCCCAAGACCAAGGAAGGCGATGACGAGGCTATAGGGTTGAGATATTTTGGTGTTCTCAGGCCATGACGAGGCTATAGGATTGGGTTTTTTTTTTTTTTTTGGCCGAAGGATATTTTGTTTGATCTGTAAATCATATTATCGGCCTATATACGTATTTAGGATTAAAAAAAAGTAATTTTTTAGATAGTTTATAAATTTTAGTAAAAAAATAAAATTTATTTTATGTTTAATTATAATAATAAAAATGTGATTATTAGTTAATTGTTTTTCTTCTTTACTTTTTTTATAAAAATAATTTATTATTTCATTATTTTAAAATGTTATGATATATTTGCGTATTTCACCATTTTAAATTATTCTCTCTGATCATCTACTATGTCATACTTCTTCCATTTAAAAATAAAAAATATTTTTAATTTTTTGAGATGTAATTATTATCTTTTTTTTAAGTATTCCCATTGAGTAACTTTATATTTATTATAGGTGTTTAATAGGATGAATATGAAAAATTAGAGTTAATTTAAAAGTAAATAACTATTTTATTGGGATAAAATTTAATTAAAAATACTTTATATTTTTAAATGGAGGGAGTATTATTTTTAAAAACTACTTAAAGTGGTTTCTTAAAATAATCAAAAATTTATTTTTTTATTCAAACTATTTTCAAAAGTTTAAAACAAATATCATTAAAATTACTAAAATAGATTTTTTTAAAAAAAGATGCGCTATTTTACAAAGTAGTTTGCAAAAAAATACGGCGTAAATAGTTTGTGCACACTATTTTTCGCAATTGACTAGAAACAGTTTGTGTCGTGAGTGTGAATAGTTATACAATTTGAAATGGATGAGTCGCCAAATTTGTGAAATGCGATACGTCTACTTTCGAATTCTTTTCTCGAAGAAAAAAATTGAAAGAAATCTTTCGGAATGATTCTGTTTAATCCAAAGCAATTGCTTATTTCAGAACAAATTAATTTTCCAAAAGACAAAAAATGAAGACTGGAATTTATGTGGGTAGGTCAAGCTCAGCTTGAATTTGTTTTAGTTTTGAGAGAGTTTTAATTTGCAAAATAATTCGTCTTTTTTGTTGGAGGGCTTGAATGCCAACTTTATGAACAGAGTAGACCTAGTCAACACTAAATCAAGAAATATTATTTACCCCTGTCTGCAGAAGCTATATACTCCTAATGCTTTTTATGAAAAAAAATTCATCTCTGTTTATTTACTAATGGAGTTTATTTATACATCGCTAATTCTATTTATAGGATAGAAAGGATATTTATTTTGATCCTATAACATCTCAATTTAAATTTTAATAGTTAATTTGGGTTAATAGAAATTTTAAAAAATATTTAGAGGTAAATAAATTAGTAGAAAATGATCATTAAATCTAACTTAGGATATAATTCTAAATTAAAAAAATGAATTTAAAAAATAATAATTAAAAAAATTAAAAAAATATTATTAAATTATTATTATAATAAAAAAAGGGGAAAAACGTATTAAAAAAAAGGGGGGGAAGAAGAAGAAGAACAAATGACTTTCGGCGTTCCGCGTGCCATCATTATATATATATTATAATAATAAAAAAAAAAAGAAAGAAAGAAGAGAGAGAAAAGAATTAAAAAAAATGTGTGGGACTCACTGAATTTTTATAAAAACTCACCCGTTTCCTTTCGTTTCTTCATTCTTCGTGTGCGTGAGCTGAGACTGAAAGAGCGTCTAGTTTCACCGGTGCGGGAGATCTGAGTTTTTAAGGTAAGAGTTTTTAATAGGATATTTAGGGTGTGATTTTAAGCTTTTTAAGACTAAGTAAGTGTTCTAAAATTTTTTCTTAGTCATCCTTCTTCTTTGGTTTCTGATTTTGTAGTGGTAGAAAATTTAAGATCTAGAAGAGGGATGAATTTATGTTGAATAAATATGGTTTTTGAGGTTGTTAGTAGTATAATAAATATTCTAGAGTATAAATTTATTGGTGATCTTTGAATTTGTGGCTTATGGATCAAATTCTAGACTAGATCTGAAAATATATGTTGATTTATTGAGGTTTAAATGATTATTTGGGATGAGAATGAATTATTATGGCTATAGGATTATGATTCTAAGCTAGAGACTTAATTTTTAATTTTTGGGTATTTTAGGTATGAATTTATGAAATAAAAAGAAAATTTTGATAATAGAAATTAGTTTAGAAGTTGATTTTTAGATTATTAATGTTTATTGATAATTAAAAGAGGAGTTAAAAATTTTACTTAATAGTATTAACTATAGATTTGTATTAAGATTGAGATTAGGAATTATGTTATATTTTTAATTCTATTATTAGAATTATTTAATTAGTTTCAAAAATTGAAACTAATATTTATAAATAATATGTTATTTGTAGATTGTATTATTGGTGAAGATTGTGGTGGGAGAGAAATTGTAAGGAATAATTTATTGAAAGAGCCACAAGGTAACCATGCTTTTAATTTGTGATTAGTGTTACTTCATGTTAATTGAGTGATTATTGAGAAAATTATGAATTTTGTAATATTGTATAATTGTGCAATATTATTATGAATTTGTTTGATTATTGTGAGAGGTGTTGGGAGACTTGCTATTGTTGTTGTATTTATGTGCCACGTGGTACGCCCCTATTGGAGCTCAATAGGTGGCTTGTAAGGGCTCAGGCTAATCTACCTTTGGCCGGGTAATTTAGCACCGAGTGAGGGCTACGGCTCGAGGTTAATGGAGGGATATAAGGATGGTTGTTTGTGTGTATTGTAATATTTCTTATTTTTGTTGAAATTATATTATTTTTAATTCTTACTTAGTAAGCACACACTTAACTGTTTGTATACATTATTATAAATTGGCTTTGATTACTGGGACTTTTGAGTCTCATTATGTGGTTAACAAATTTTCAAGAGAAGAGCCACGAGTGTCACGTGGAGGAGTCCCAAAGGCTTAGTGGTATAGATCCACTGTCTCTTTTGGGTATTTAATTTATGATTTATAATGTGTTATATTGTCAATATTAGGGCTTTTTGTTTATTGTCAATTATATGAATATAAATGTAATCATGCCTTTCAAACTATTTCTATTTTTAGTACAATTTGGATGACTGTAATTTTAATATTTGATTTACTTTGAATTAGTTAAAATGGCATGATTATAAGGCCAAATAACTGGCTTGTGTTGAAAATTTATTAAATTGCTTATTTTACTTGTTGGGAGTATAAGGATGGACAAATGTGATTTAGCCTAATGGCATGTGGGAGTTTAAAATTTATCTAAAATGTTATAGTGTGTGAGTTGAAGCCAATTATAAAATATTTTATATTGAAATTATTGATACAAAAATGTGTTGGATGGTTGTAACCCAACTATGGTTGAGTTAAATTATTTTTAAAAAAAAATTTTGGTGTGTTACAGATCCTATTTATAAGGTACTAAAATTATTGTTCTTTTCATTTTTACCCTTTTTTTTTCTTAGGTTATTAAATATTAGAGTATTTAATTTTTAAAAAATATACTTAATAGGGTAAACTTAAAAAATATAATTACTTATATTTGATGTTTTACTTAATTCAAGTAAAATCATGAAAATAACTTATAAATAGAATAAAAAAATATATTGCAAAATCTTGTTCATTATGCAGATACCAAAAATTTAAAAAAAAAATTCACCAACTTCAATATGTGAATCGATTTAGTAAATTTTTGATGAAACTTCTATCCATACAAGTAATATAATTTAAAAAGTAAGATTTATATACTTACTCTTATATATTTAATATACTTTCATTCAATTAAATCAAGACACGTGGATTTTAATATGTTAATAATATTAATAATAAAAATTTATTATAAAATAAATAATCTATAATAAATACACATATTTTAAGTTAATTAAAATTAAATATTATATATATATATATATGATTAAGTATATAAATTTTTTCTTATTTAAATGTTGCGTTATATTTGCCCCTATGACATGTTCAATGTTAAATAAGTTATATTTTTGATCATTTTAAATGTCATAAAAATAAGATGGTGCATTATTAAGTGGAGAAGAATTTTAAAAAAAATACCTATTTGCAATAAAAAAAAATGTCATCATTATCACGTGATCTCTTCCATTTTCTTGACAGCTCGGACTTGAAGGTGGAAAGCAAGTTCACAATATTTGACGATGGAAAATTCTGCATATTAATTAATGGGTCTTCGGTAAGAAAAGTCATGGAACGTGACATGATTGATTTGATAGATGGAGCAATTTAATATCGCATAAAATTCTAGGTCTAATTTCCATGACGTGTATAATAGATATCTAAAACGACTGGTGGATTAAATTCTCCACAAATTATCAATTAAGAAAACAACTAATTGAGACAATTCAAAGTATAATGTTGACCAAAAAAAAAAAATGCAAGTTCATAGTATGGGCGAAGGCGTAGCCATCCATAACGACTTTGACCGTTGGTATTAAATCATTGTGTGGCCGGGAATCACTTTTGCAAATTACTCCATCGTGCGAACACAATTCCGAAAGAGCCATCCCGGAAATTATGTGCTTTGTCTCCATTCGTTGATTTTTTTTAAAAAAAAAACAAGGATAGTAAAATTTTTAGTCCTCTAATATAATGATATCTTAATTTTATTTGAATTATAGACTTTGTTCTTATTGTTTAAAAAAAATTAATCATTCAATTTTTTATAATTTTAATCTAATTATAACTCAATCTCTATATTTAATTTGTTGTAACTCAGTCTTTGAATTATGCCTCTTACAATTCAATTCATATAATTTTAATTATTTAAATATTAATTCTTATATTTTTAAAAAATAAAATTATAAGAATTAAAAATATTTTAATATTTTAATATTTATAAAGATTAAAATGGTTTAGTCATTTAAAATATTATTGTAATAAATTTTAACATAATTTTATATTTTTAATTTTTAAAATATAGAAACTAATATTTAAGTGATTGGAATTATAGAGACTAAATTATAAGAGTCAGAAATTCAGGAATTAAGTTATAATTGTGTCAAAATTATAGGAAGCAAATGATTATTATTTTTTGTTTAAATAGAAAATTAAATAACATTCATTAATGCTAAAAATTAAATTTGATCCCAACCGAATCATTTGGACTAAAATCTTAACTTTAGTCCAAGTTTATATATGTTCGGTCGTTGAAGGAGTATTTGGTCAAAGCACAAGCGGAGTCTAGGGGCTCCATGGT